AATATTAACTGAAATATTATTATGTTATGTTCTTATTAGTATCTATTGAAAAATTGATTAATGCCACCATACATATATTTCGTTCATCTTTTGCCACAGTTAAATGGCATTTAATGAAGACGAATTTCAGTTTATAAATTGCAAATGCCTAATTCATTTTTTTTTAAAGTATACTTTAAATATTAAAAGAATGTATGAATATGTTGATAGGGATTTATGTATAAATTACAGAATTACTTGTTTATTTTGTTCCGATACTTGCGGTTGGAAGGTTTATAAATATTTTTTTTAATTTAGGTACATTGCAACTTACATGGCATCAAAACTGAGATTCTATTTTTTAAAATTTTTTCGTTTTTTATTATCGTTATCATTATTAAATTAAATATTTTTGGAGTTTTTTTTTTATTGATTAAATATTATTAAATATTTTTAAAATTATTGATTAATTAAATATATTGCAAATTTTTTTTTAAGTACATCTATTTTTTTATAAATGTGACTTTTCGATTAAAAATTATGCTAAATTAAACCTTTATTTTACATTTATAAAATTAACATTCAAACGATATTATTTTAATATCTGATCATTTACCTGTTTGGTTTTTGGTTTTTATAACGATCCAATAACACAATTTTTTATAATTTAAATCATGCGTTTTAATTTTTAATTTTTTTTTTAATTTTTCACTTTTTTTATCTTAACTTTTTTATTTGCTCCCATGACGTTTTTTTTTTAATTTATTTTTTTAATTTAGCTTATTAAAGATTATTTTTTTTTCAAAAATACAATGAAATAAATTTTGGGGCTTTTATAAACAAGAGCTTTTTATTAACCATATTTTTTTATTAGTTTTTTATTTAATGGATGTATATTATTATATAAATTACTTTTTTTAACTGCTTTTTTTTTTATTTTGTAATATATAAAACAAGTTATATTTATGACTTTTTGTAAGCATCGTGGCAAATTCACATGAGAAGATATTTAATTTAATTATTTTTATTTAAATTTTTTTTATCTAACCAATTTTTATTTCTATTTGCGATGAAATTATTTTTAAATTTAAATTGAATTTTTTATATTTCTATTCTATTTTTTTTTTTTATTTAATTTTACAAATGTCTTTTTTGTTTTTTTTATATATAATATATTTATATATATTTATTTTATATAAATATATATATATATTATAAAGGTATTTTATTATATATAATATATTTATATATAAAATATATATATATATTTATTATTATTTTTTTATTTTTTTATTTAATATATAATATTTTTTGTTGGTTTTATGAGTTTTTTTATTTTTTTAACTTTGAGTACATTTTTTTTTTTAGCTAATCGATAGATATAAAATGTTTTTTTTTTCATAAAAATAATTTTTTTTTTGTCAATAATGATTTTTTGAGTAAAATTATTCCAAGAAGATATTATCGCTGTCTGAGTAACAGTAGTTGTATAACAGCGGACACGATTTATTTTAATGGCAATTGGGGGGATTTGGGGCCGATATACGGACAATTGACAAATTTTGTAAAGGGACAAGAGTTATGTTTTGGAACGTAGATGGGTATTTTTTTAACAGTTATTGGAACACTGGAAAATTGTATAGCATAGTACCATAGTTAGGTTGCCACCTGTTTCATTTCTATTAAAAGATTTTATTGCCTTCGCGTTCAGTGACATTATTTAGTAATTTTTTATGTATGAGTTTACATATACTATAAAATTTCATCGAAACCTTTTACGTACAATTTTTTTTAGCAAGAGTGGCCCTAAAAAGGGCCAAAGATTCTTCTAAGATTTTTTGTTATCCAGTAGCTTAATTTTCCAAAATTTTTCTTGATTCGTTAATAAAGTTTAATTTTTTTTATTACAGTATTATATTTTATGGAAGTTTAAATTTGTGTTTTTTTTTAAAGAAATTTTATTCGAAATGGAAACCGTTTTTTTTTTTTTCAATAAATTTATATTTTTTTTTCCTTCTTTTTTATATTTTTTCTAAAAACTTCTGACTTTTTATGTTTTAAAAATAGGATTTTTCTAGAAAAAAGCAGTACCTGTGAAAATATTAGGGCAAATAAACGCATTTATTTTTCTGAAAAAACCCTGGACCTTTACTTTTTTTTCAAATTTGGCATTCCATGATACATAATGTTTTTATTTTTTTGCAGTTATTTTGGGTTTATTTTGTTTAGTATTTTTTATTGGTTTATCTTTTTTTTTATGATTTTGGAAAATTTGAGATAAATAATTTGAAGAAACCTTAGCGTTTGATAAATATTTTTTAATCATAGGTTGTTGAATCTGCTATTAATTTTTATAAGTTAGCGTTTTAATTTTATATAAAAAATTTAAACAGCTTTTTATGATCTTAAAATATTGAGTACAAAAATCGACAAAATACTTTTTTTTGCTATTTGAAATTTTTTTTATTCGTGGAAAGCATATTTGGATATGGTACTGCCTTTAATTTGTTATTTGTGAAAACAAATTTTTAAAAGCTTCCTTTCTTTTTAATACTTTTTTAAAGACACAGTGGGGATATTATTTATTACCTTTTTTTTAGGGTTTTTAAAATTAAACGATTGACTGATCATGTTATTATCAATTTTTATTTTGGAGGTGTTGCTTGTTATTTTCAAAGTTTTTTTTATTGGAAGCTAACTTCCTTTGATTTTTTTTAAAGTTGCTTTTGGTTATTATTTTTGTTTTTTCACGCTTATTTTTTTTAAAATTTTTTTTATATTTTATTTTTACTTTTTTATAAATTTTCAGGAAAATGAATTCTTATGATCAAAATAGAGACGTGAAATGCCTTTAAAAACTCGTTTTTTTATTTTTTTTATTTTTTATATTGGGATGATATTATTTTTTAAAACCTTTTTGTTTGTACGTTTTAAAGGTGATTGAGGTTAAAATTTTTTTTATAATTTTTAGTATGGGATTTTACGGTGATAGGAGATGAGTTTGGTATGTTTTTGGAAAGGATTTTTTGAGGATCAGTTTTATAACTCTGGGACCTCTCCTTTTGAGAAAGTGTTTTTTTATTATAAGATTTTTGTGGTTATTGGTTTTTGTAACACAAAACTATTTTTTTTTTTTTCTTTACATATTTAAGAAAAGCTTTTTTTAGACCAGCGTGTGTCCAAGTGTATCTTGATTGATGTTTGCTGTCAACTATTTATTGACAAGAACTGTTGTTATCTACAAACGATTACCTAGCACGCTTGAATCTATGGTTAAGCAAAGCTTGTAAGAACAATCGCTAAGAAACGTCGTCATAAAAATCATTAAGGTGAACTACTAGATCCTTATATTTTAGGAAAATATTACCTGAATCAGGGGTCAACAAACGAACTCGCCTTTATCCCTACTGTGTAGTCTTTTTGCATTTCCCAGCATTTCATTCTTTTTAACGGTATTTATTAAATGGTGATAATTATATTTACGTTAAAGGATAAAGGCTTATATATAAATATGTAATTAATAAATAATTATTTTCAGTAACTAATTGTATTTATTTAAAATAATTCTGTCAATGAACTACGATGATTCTCACGTCAGGCAAAAAGCTTGAAATTGATGTGTCAAAAAGTGTAAACAAAATATTTACAATATATAAAAAAATAAGGTAAATATAATCCTTTATAATTAGCCTAAGCGGCATGATTAATTGTAATCCATATCAAAGTTTTCCTAAAGAGATTCTTATTTGATAATTTTAAAGCAAATATTTGTGGAAAAGTATCATCACATTCCCTGGCCCATCTGTTCTATACGAAATGAAGTTGAGATACTACATAGTAGGCCTTAAACAATGTTCTTGTGTTTTTGTGCGTGAAAGACACCAATACCAAAACGAGATAAGGATCTTCAAGAAGGGTCTTCTTAAACCTTAATTAAATTCCGTTATCAATTAGCTTTAACTGATAAGTTACACCATGTAGCGTTCCATCATTTATGTTTGTGTCTAAAGTTGTGTAATTACGAAAATTAATCTTAGAAGAAAACACAGCATTAAAGATAACTGTGTTATCTTGAATATCCATTTTGATCGAAGCAACACAAGAATCTTGAAGAGCATTTGCTTATGTAACCTAAACATCAGAATACTCGGTCTATGAAAACGAAGATCTCATATAGAAAACTGGATTTTATGGTTTGATCTTGATGATATTGCTTTGAATATGGTAACTTTTAGTAATAGGTATACTTGGATGAACTTATATTAACATATTTGGACGGATTGTTTTCATACAAATGCATTCAGAGTTCTAAATACCTTCTTGCTTGTAATAAGAGTAGACATCAATATCTAGAAAGGCGTAACTTTGACATCAACAATTTATCAACTAATCATGTAATAGATTGTACAAACCACATGAAAATGCTAATTCAATTTATTACACACATATTGGCATTAGTTTATAAATAAAGTACCTCCCCTTTTGTAAGTCCTTTCTCAATGAATTTCATGTATAGGGTTTTATCGTGGAAAACATCCCGTATTTGAAGTAGTATCTTTAAAGATGTTACATTTTTATGTTCTTAAGTCTTATCTACTGACAAAATTATTGAAATACAAACCACTAAGAATTGTCGTTACATCGTTCCACAAGCATCAAAAGCTTCGAAACAAAGAACGGAATACCGGGCGATATTTAAAGATATGAATTTTAGGAAGACCGCGAGTTCCTTATCCCTTACAGACTGATACACGTACCATACTATCTACGGACAGAGAGTGACTGATTACGATTATGATTTTTAACGTAGTTTTAACATTTTTTCAGTCATATAGCTACGATGTCTGCAGTGTGGCACTTTATTTGATGTTTAGCACTGAGGCATCATGCTGCAGACATGTAGCATCATGTTCCACCCAGTCACATTATCCTGACACAAGGTCGACCAATCCTAACACTAACCTCTTAACGCTGAGCGTCAAACGAGGCATTATTAATACCATTTGTGTAAGTCTTTAGTATAACTCGACCGTGGATCGAACCCACGACATCCCGCATCCGAAGCGGACGCACATACCACTAGGCCACCGGAGCGGTTCTAGGGACGGCGAACATTTTGTCTGCTTATATTTTCAAGTCGTTGGAATTTCTGATGTATCAGCAAGTTGTAATGAGCTTTATCAACTTGTAATTTGTTAGTTATTGTTTTAAAGCCTTCTGTTCTTTATTGCTGTTATGTGGCGTGGCAATACATAAATTTGTTCTTTAGATTTTAAATCCTTTCCATGATACTACATCTTCATAAAAAGAAATAAATCCAGCAAAGTATTGACTGAATAGCTAAATATTGCCGTAATTGATTTACACAAATGAAAGGACAAATAAACAATCAAATTACTTAAATTGCTACCGAACCATTTTAGTAACTAACTGCGCCTAGAATTTTGTGCGTAGTTAAGGTAAGTATTTCTTTAATATGTGACTTTTAAAATGTCATTGAGTCTTGATCTTTTCTTGAATAGATTAAATGTCAATTATGGAGAAAATATTTTTAAAAAAATGCGCAGTTAAAATTTGAATTAGAGCTTTAGGTAAAGATTGAAAGTTTGTTACTCCAGTAAAATGAACTTTTCCGAATTTCCAATCTAACCATTGTAATTAATGATTTAAATTGTTTGCAATTACCAAGTACATTATCTCCCTTGAATACGGCTTAGTTGCTTTTGTTTGTGCCGTGTGATTCAAAAATGAGAAGATAAACTTTACTTTAATGGTGAACTGATTCAAGATGGAAAAGAAATGTATAGTTTCAGTCACGGATTATTTATCAAAGCCAGATAAAGGGATGTTTTTATAAGTTATAAATGTCAGACCAGATTGTATTAAGACGAGCTTCTGATTGATTGATTGAATGAATGAGTGATTGAGTGAGTCAGTCAGTCGATGAGAGTTTGTAGATTATATATTGTACGTTAAATTAAGTATACTGGAAGCAAACAAATGACCCACTTCATGGTCATCTTACTATGTCTTTGGTTTAGAAATAATGTTATTATCAACTGTTATGTATATCTACACTTTTTATAGCTCTTGGTACATTATTTTACCTAATAATTTTAATTTTTATTCATGGATGTAAATTGGACAGATTATATTTTGTTATTATTTGCCTGCGTGACTGGGGTTTGTTTTAGCTATATAAAGAGTATTCAATTTCATAGAATCATTAGATTCTTACGTACGTGTTGACGATTACTAATAATAAGACTTTTTGAGGACGTTGGGTTAATTTCTCATCAGTTTGTGCATTTTTGGACGTTTCTGAAGAATTGAGTAATGTCCCATTAGTTGAAATAGGTCACATGACAAATATTTGTTTAAATAAATTCGGTAGAGTGATTTGCCTCGTTGTGAAATATAGTCGTTAAAGGTGTATAAAAGAGAATTAGATTCATGCCTACTCTGAAGACATTATTTTTACTTTTCCTATTGTAACATCAAGTCTGCAGACATTTTGTTATATTATGTTATTTGAGACAAACATTTGTTTGGACTGTTCAGTAGAAATATTATGTGCTCATTTTAACAATATAATATTATTCTGGAAGTTGTAAATAATTCAAAGGACATAGATATGTTTGACAGGTAGTAGCAACATTTTTTCAAGCCTTCTAGCTGAACAGTACCCAAATGACGTATCATGTTGCGTGACTCGATTAAAACAACCTTCTCTTATACCTCATGTTTTGTTACTCTGCGGAGAATAACTCGAAAGCAGGTCGATATCCAATTTTGTGATCTTGAGGCCTGGACAACGCCATTTTGACAACGTCTGTGGAGTCTGTTGCGGCGGTACCGTGTATATGACAAAGTAAGCTTCTGGTACTGTTGTCAAATCTAGGTTGATGATGACGATTAAAAACAACTGCAATAAGCCCGCAACGACGCTAGTGCAATCTCTAGTGTGTGGGATTGCCCCACAGCGACTGGAGTAGAGAAACCCACATAGAATTATGTTTCCGTTGAAGAGATTGTTACCAAAGTGGCAATGTTTGGATTTGTATTTTCTACGACACGCTGCATTCTGGCATTGATTTTGCTGAAAATGGAAAAGTCTCAAAACTCATCAAACAAATATATCTTGGATACATACCTTTGTTTCTGAGCCTTATGATGGCGTCTTCCACAGGCTATGGTTTTATACGATACAGGTTGACATGTGTTATTTTTTTTCCCTGAGGGTTCTTCCATAACTCATATTGTTTGTGGCTTGTTTTATATACGTATACTCTCACATTAACCAAGGTAGCGTGATTGATGTTTGCTGGCATGTACATCTTGACCAGAAAGGTGGTGTTATTCAGAAACCATATCATAACACACTTGAATCTATGACTAGTCATTAATGCATTAATAAAAACTTTTCATCAAAATTAGTAACTTGAGTTGTTGGAACATTTTTGATTTTGAAAATTATTTCTTGTACAGGATCGTTACAAACGTTTTAGTAAACGAACTAAGTCATTTCCCCTCCTATTTAGTCTTCTTGCAATGTTCACATTTTACTCTCTTATTATGGTCAAAAAGTAATTATTAAGTCGAGATCATTGTATAAGTAAAAAGAGCAAAGCCTATATCAAATAATATTAAATATACAATTGCTACACTTTCTCGGTCGTAAATGTGAGCAATGATTCCTTATGTTTTTCAAGCTTACTTTGTGAAAACAAGCCAAACTCAATAAACGCTTGTTGATGATCCTAAAATATTTTTTCTTCTTTTCATTTCAAATTATTTTTATGGTACTACACCTGCGTAAAAAGTAAAGTCAAGAAAATAAAGGATAAAATAAATACTTATAGTTAAATTACTGCCTACCCTTCCAACCATCTAAATAACTAACTATCGAGGGTTAGTTTTATTTAATTCTAGAAGTTCATCAATAGCTGCATTTTTTTCACAAAATTCCAGGTGTACGATTAATCGCATCATAATAATTTCTTAAGTAGATCAATAAAGTTCAATTATGAGAATTTTTCCAAAAATCTTTTAGTGAAGTATTCGAAAGAACGCTATTTAAAGATTAAAGCTCCGTTTCTCCAAAACATAGTTAATCATTTCCATGCATCTACTGTTATTTTAAATTTTAAAATATCACGAGTAAATTAAATACTACCTACCACATTGTGAAGTGTTCGTCAATATTGTTTACCGTATGTATTGCTAGCAAGTATATTCCATCTGTTTTCGCGCTAGCCCTACCAACCTGTATTTGTAGTAATATTTGTGTTTTGCTATATAATCACTAATGCAATTACAGTTTTGCTTTAAGTTGTATTTTCCTTTTTCGCAAGTTGGGATCTTAATTTCCATCTGATATTTGCCACATTTTCTCTTTATCTCGGCAAATACTCGTCATCGAAAAGGAAACAAATCCTGAGATCTCATTTTTGTTTCAAATGGCCATTCGTGAAACTGAAGCAACAGAAGTACCTGAGTTATTTTGTTCAAATGAGATTTTTCTGAGAAAATGGAGACTACCTGAGGTATCTGCTGGTGACTAGTGGTCAGTGAACTATCAGATTCTTGTTCCAAAATTGTACATACAATAAGGTTTAGTCCGGCCTACGTAAACTCCATTGGCTGGTCTTTCTGGGATTAGTAAGACTTACCACAAAATCTAAACTCACTTATCTTGTCAGGAAAGTAAAGGTGATGTTTGTAAGTAGTACGAAAACCCAATCTGGAGATAACAGGCTCATCTGAAACATATTCTTGCATTTGATGAACCATTTAGCAGGATCATAGTAGATTGTCTTGGTCCCTTATCTAAGACCAAGTCAGGTAACCAATACTTGGTTACCATAATATATGCGTAATTAAGATTCCCAGAGGCAGTTCCTTTGAGGAATATTTAAACTGAAACAATAGTTAAGCCTTTGATAAAAAGTTTATTTCATTTGGCATTCCCAAAGTTATCCAATCGCTGGAATGTTCCAACAAAGTTTTGTACAAATTATGGATTCAAGTCTTATGCCTATCATACTGACAGCCAATGGGCTTTAGAAAGACGTCATCAGCTTTTGAAGAATGTCATTTGCTAATATTGTCTTGATACTGGTAAAAATTTGAATGAGGGCGTTAGCTTACTGTTGCTTGCTGTTGGAAAATGAGTTCAAGAATGTTTAGGATTATGTCTATTTAAACTAGTGTTTGCACATACTGTGCGTAAACCATTTAAAGGAGAACCATTTTCCTAATTAAGATATCAAAAGTCGTCTTTTCATTTATAGTCTCAATTTTAAGTGTACGTTGTCAAAGGCATTTGAAGTTGCAAGAACAAATGTGCACTGTACTCAGTCAAAAATTAAATTAATGTATGATACAAATGCAAAGGAAAGGAGTTTTTAGGTTTGTGATATAGTTCTGACTCTCTTGCCCCTACCACAAAGTCCACTTCAGACCAAATATTATGAACCTTAAACCGTTGAAAAATAAATGATTTCAATTATATTATAAATACTCCTGGTAGGCGAAAACAAAAACACCTTTGCAATATAAATACTTAAAGCAGAATGGTGAGAGAGATAGCCAGGTAAATCATGCAATTAATTTAATTGTATGTCCAACACACGAAGGACTTAATCGATGGAATGCAATCGGACTCTTTAATTTGGAGTAGAAAAATTTGAAATTCAGACATTATGAATAATCAGGATCAGAAACTTTTACGTTTACAGCAACAAGAAAAGAATGAACTTAAAACAGTTGTCATTTAAATATGAGCACTTATTTCCAGATGTTCCTACAAGAACAACTTGTATCGACCATGACGTTGAAAATGTAAATTCCACACTTGTGAAACAACACCCATACATGATGAACCCTCTGAAAGAGGATAGCTTGAAAATTGACATTCAGTATTTGCTGGAGAATGATTTGATATATCCAAATAATAGTGATTGAAAGTTCACCATGTATATTTGTTCCAAAACCAGATAATACTTTCCGGTTGTCTATTGATTATAGAATAGAGAACAGTTCGACTAAAGCAGATTAATTTTCATTATCAACCCTCGATTACTGCATTGATAA